TGAGGCGAACCAATCATGGGATATGTATGTGTATATATACATAATATATATATATATGGGATAAGCTGGGATAATGGGACAAGCATCAGATTGTCTTGATTCTAAATTGAAGCCTTTTATTGTTGGACATATCTTTCAAGCCGAGTCGCTGGGGTTATGACTGCCATGGGTAAACCCTACTGATGGCTTACCTGTCGGGTTTTTGAGAGGTTTACACATGTTTATAATCTGTTTATCCAACCAGTGAGGGATATAAACTGACCAATTTCTGAGGATATAGTGGGTTCATTTTCTTTTTTTGTATAACTCATGTAAAATCCCGTTAAAGAAACACAAAAAACCCACGAAACTGCCCTGAACTTCCGAAGCGTCGTAGGCTTCGGTGGTCTTCGTGTGCGAAGGCGTGCCGACGGCTTCTGGGCAAAAACAGATGGACTGGGCAGGTCTTGCAATTTCTCCAAGAATTTGTAAACCATCTCATTCTTTTGGGGGATTCTCTATAGACTTAGCAATTTAGTAGTATCTCGTTGACATTTTGGTGGAATTGACCAATTTTTCACCCGCAGATGTTTTTCAGGCTTTGTACAGCCGGTTGGTCGACGCTTTGGCCCGGGATAGTAGGAATATGGTTTGATCCATGCCGGGATTCGCAGCAACCAGTAGCTATGGGGATGGCAGAGGGTTTTTGGGCACTGCATGGAACAACTGTTTTTTTGTGCCATGACCATGTGTCTAGATTATATGTAGAAAATTGTAGAAACAATTTCCGAAACATGATGAAGAAATAGATTATCCAGTTGACAAGTAACCACATAGACATAGCAATTACAAATGGACAGGACCTCCCCGATTCCTGGGCAGGGGCAGTGTAGGAATGGTGCCCTCCCAAGGTTCTCATGCAGCATTTGCCAGTGATCTGTGCCCTGAAGAAGGTTCCCATCGCAGGGATCCCCCAGCATGCCTAAAAATGACTACAAAAAGTGAACGGATTGTGCTGGATTCTGAACCCTGTCTAGTTGCCACGTGGTTGTTTTAGGGGATTCTAGGGGTACATGGTTGTAAACATGACCGTTGTAGCCCTGCCCGTTTTCGTGTGAGCCCAGGGTTGCTTAGTGCTACCTTTTCCGCTGCAGATTGTCCTATTGGAAACGAGTTTTTTTGGGGTTCCACCTTGGCGTAATCCATTGGCAAACGCCTAAACTCTTGCAGTTCCGCCTCTGAAACGACCCGCCTCCCAGAATTGGATCAAGCGAAAATGAGCGGAGACCTCCAAGCATTGGGCTAGGAAAACGGAAGGAAAACCACATGTGTTTTCTTCTTTTTTTTGGCCCAAGAAAACATTACATACATTACCTTACCATCAATCCATTGATGGCGGTTATCAAAAGCCCATGACTTGGATTTTGACTTTTGGGGTAGACCACCCAAGTCCCATTTGTAAAAAGGTTGCTTGGATCTAATGGACATCTGGTTGATTATAAGCCAGGTATAAACCCATTCAAAAAACATGTTTCCTATTATTTTATATCACGAACTCTATGTAATAAGCCGCTGATTGCAATCTATTGTATGGCAAACTATTGGGATTGATCTTTCATATATATATATATATTATATATATATATCTCTCTCTATATATATATATTATATATATATTATATATATATATTATATATATATTATATATTATATATTATATATTATATATATGTAATAAACCATAATAAACCAATAAACCAACCAATAAACCTCCCATCCAGCGCTTGCGCTGCCTCTTCGCCGAGGCAGTGCTTGCCGCGGCGCCTCAGACATTGGGCAGCGCTGCAGCACCCTTTAGGCGCCATTGGGCAGCCGTGCCCAGCTGGAAGATGTTGCCACGAAAATTGCCACTTAAGTGGGATTTACCCTCTGGTTATGACTAACATAGCCATGGTACAGATGGCCCATAGAAATAGATGGTTTACCGAACTTAAAAATGGTGGATCTTTCCATGGCTATGTTAAATTACCAGAGGGTACATGGATTTACTGGAAAAAAAACGTAACATATTGGACAATTATATCGGAGAAGATCAGACAGTTGCTACCAGAAAAGATGGAAAAAAAAGAGCACGGACATTTTTTTCGTGCTCGTTCAACGACAAAAATCGCTTCCGGTCAATCCGAAGTGCACTTCTTGGGCCCGTCCCTGGCCTGGGTTTACCATCACTGGGGGATCACGACCTCACTGGAATGATGCCTCAACGAAGCCAGGCCCAAGCAGAAGGATCTTCAAGCCACCGCCTGGAACCTCAGGTGCTTTACCCTCTGGTAATTTCTTACATATTGAACATTGCCCAGTCGAAATAGTGGATGTTCCGAAATGAACAATGGTGATTTTCCAGTTCGCAAACTGTTATATAGTTTATAGCCATTTTCAATAGCTATGTTCATTTATGTTCATTTATAGTGGATTTTCCCATGAAACATTGTGAAAATTCCATAGCTATGTAAACGTTTACCAGAGGGTACATTCAGGGTATCCATATTCCTAACAAGAAATCGGTCAAGTCATTGAGTTCCCCCTTGGCTCCCTCCCAGGCCGTAGCCTTGCTAAAGGGCTGTCGGCAGATCCCGCGCTTGGCAGAGCTGTGCCAGCGTTTGGAGGCAGCGTGGATGTTTCTTTTCGGGGCAACGAGCAGTTCGGGCAAAATATGGGAAAACGATGGAATACTCGGGGACGAAAGTGGATTTGGGACGAAAAAATTGGCTGAAGTTTAACTGGAAAAACTGGAGAAAAACGAAGAGGGGATTCGGCAAAAACTAACATTGGAATCCAAAGATGATCAGCCGTATCCACTAGGAACATTGGACAACAACTCATTTTTGCATACCATCTATACAGTATATACAATATATACTTGTTTGCGTTGATGTATTTTTCCTAAGCTACAAATTCGCTTGTCTGGGGTGCCTAATTTGAGTGTGGAAACAGAGCTTGGCCAGCTGATTTCTGGTGTCATGCTAGAATAGCAGAGTTTTTCCAAGGCCTCTGGAAGCCTTGGCCAGTGGATGTATTTAGCCATGTTCCTTCAACTTTTAACATTTTTGAGGTTCCAACTATTAATTGATCTCCAGGTTTCAATTGGGGGCCCCATTTCGGGGACCAGGCCTCCCCCCGCTGAAAGGCGTCCTTGCTCCCGGTGAGAGTGCCCTTCCTCCGCACGGTGCGGTGACCCTGGGCCAATCTATCCAGTTCGTTTGTTCATGTTAACTTGCCTATAAGGTTCAACTGAACAACTGGGACAGTTCAGCACATCATTTCAGATCTTTAGGTCACCAGAACTACATCGGTTGAAGATTGAGACACCAAGCAACCCTCAAATCGATTCGGATAAATACCCATTTTAGTATATTTTAGTTGGTTATATAAATGAGTTCCTTGGTTCAATTGCCAGTTTGGCTGGTTGAAACTATTAGGTGCCTCTACTTGGGTTAGAAACTTCCGACCCAACAGCAGATGGGCTTCTTTCAGACACGGGCCGGTCATGAGGTTTTTACACCGCTGAAAGATCCATGCTTTTCCAAATTCAAGAAAAACCACAACAAAACCGGTCCCTCCAAAGCTTTGGTGTTAAGAAAGGGTCCCTATGAAATTTTCATGGTCCCTCTTCCAGAAGTTCCATATGGGTTTGTCTGAAAATAGGGTATATTCCCAATTATAGCCATTTAATAGGGATAATGATCATTAACCATTGGGTTTAGGGGTACACTATTTTCAGACACACCCATATTTTGTGCTTCCAAAATGCGATGGAGCTCCGGTTTCACCCCAGGCAGGAGATGCCCTGGAGCCTGAGGTCGCTCTCGCTGATCGATTGGTTGACCTAGAAATCTCCATAGCTGGGATACCGTTGATTTTTTTCGGCAACCAATATCGATGTTTTGGTAACCCATATTGCTGTCTATGGTAATTGATGTTTTGGTAGCCATAGTATTGATGTCATTTGACACATTTGATACCTATAATTGTTGAAAATTGTGTGTGTTTTTTTTAATGTTCTTTTCAAGGAAACAGCAGTCTTTTTTCTCGATGAGATTGAATGACATAGCAGGGTCTGGGAGGATGAGATTGGGATGCTTTTTGGACCTGCTTTTTGAGAGACAACTTTCTTCTTTCGCTAAGTCAGTCAACACGGATTACTGGTTGGTGGTTTCCAACATGAATTTTATTTTCCATAATATATGGGATAATCCTTCCCATTGACGAACTCCATCATTTTTCAGAGGGGTAGGTCAACCACCAACCAGATGTTTCGGAAGTCGGGAAGTCATGGAGGGTACTTCCGAGAATTTTGGGACGGTGGCAAAAATTCAGGGGTCCGGGAATGGATGACAAAGGATGAAAAGAATCATTCGGTACATCCCTGTCTTCTTTCATTTATCACCAAAAAGCAAACTGAGATAATGATAGATAATTCGAGATCCACACCAAGCAAACATCCCCTGTTGTTGCGGTTTACCACTGTGTAATGTCAACCCCAGATTAGAACACCCCAGTTGATTAAAATTAGGGGTACCCCCCAAAGAGTGATAATTTGCTACTCAAATGGTAACACCCCAATGAAACGTGTCATCAAAATCCGCAATTGACGTCATACCACTTCTTTGGCCACAATGGGGATGGTCATCACTCCATTTTCGTACCAGTTCGCATGCTCATTACCCTCCAGCAATCAAACTTGGCTGGAAAGTCCATCATTTACAGATGATTTCCCCATGTTCGACGACCATAGGATTTTTGGGGAATTTCAAGTGATGGAATGACCAAAAACAAAAAACAGCAGCGCAAGGCAGAGATGCCCGAGATGCCCAGCCCACCCGAGGATTTTCAGGCGATCTCACCTTGTCGGGTGATGGTAGATCACCTCAAATTGGGGTAACCTATGGTAACCTTCAAACAGAGGGCCATGAAGCTGTGAGGATAGCCTAAAAACCAGCCATGCAGATTAGCAGCATTAGTGGGCCATTTGGGGTGGCAGTACTGGGTTTACCAGATTAAACAGCATGGACCCATCATGATTTATGGCATCATGGCATCCTCAGGCAGCCGTTCCGGAAGAGTTCATCCAACTTGAGCCGGCTTTTAAGCCGGAGGCCTTCAAAGGCCGTTGGTCGATGGGTGGATGAGTTGTGGCTGGAAGTAGGGACTTCTTGAAATGGGGGATCCCCAAGTCACTATGGCTTTCAATACGATATAATTATGATATATTAATATGTATATAGTAATATGCATGTATATATAATATATATATATATAATATATATATATATATAAATCTATCTATATATATAATATATATATATATGTATGTATTGGTCCAATGACTTGGATGAATTGGCGGTATCTCCATGACTTAGGAAACCCAAATGGTGATCACTTTCAAAAACCTCCGCCCGCAGGTAGAGCGAAAGGCAAAGGCTGGGGGAAGAGCAAGGCACCGAAGACAGCCATGACCCCAAGAGCCAGGAGACCATCAAAGACATAGATCGATTCGGATCGATTCCGCAGGGGATGAATTGAGGCAATCAATTTATGACCGTTTTCAATGGGGATTTCAGGAGGATCAGACCAGGAGACTTAGGGTTTTCACCATGTTTTTTTTTCCCCATCATTTTCAATCTCAGATTCGGAGTTGAGTCCCAGCCTGTCATCATTCTTCGCAAGGGCCAGCTGAGCCAACCGATGAAATCGTAGGAAGCAACCTGGGAAATTGCGACAAACCGAACCAGGGGGTAACGCAATTTTTGAAACGAGGCAAAAAGAAAGAGACAACCACTGAAATGGTCAAGACTCCAAAACATAATTAATAGTTATATACAATTATAATGATACTATATATATATAATAAACATATAGGTAATATATACACTATAGATAAGCATGGTCATGCACAAAGACATCTCCACCTTGGTTTTTCGCCTAAGGCGGAGCCACAAAAATCGAGTGGCTTTAAACGGGCCAGAGCTGCGTTACAAGGACCGGGGGTTGGTTGAGGTAACCTGGTAGGGGGGAACCAAGGAAGGGAGAGTGTAACGCTGTGGGCCCCCTTTTTACAGTGTTTTGCGATGTTTTTTGATAGTTTATGTTTGTTTATACTCATAACCTTTTTTTCTTGATATTCTTCAATATCTTCTGTATTACTTGTTTTAGTTGCATTGTTATTTGTTTTGTATTTAATTTGGTTCTGTAAAGTTTTAAAAAAGCAAACAAGGGGTGGAGGTAGGGCCCATATCCACGGTTCCAAACAGTTTTCTTCTTTCACCAAAGCAGATTATACAAGTAGACCCATGGCAAGTAGCAACACATCAGTATTTGTCTCTTCATATGATTATAGACAAAAACATATGTATATACAGAACACCCTTGCGTTTCAATACCCAAGAATGGTTAATGACATAAACATGTGAACCTATATGTTGAACAGGTGCCCGTTTTGACATCACCATAGCAATTTTTCATACACCTGTTATTTCTATTGCTTAGATTTGGCGGTGGTTTCTAGAAGCAAACATTGAAGTACAGCCTTGTCACATTGCAGGGGATGCAAGCAGTTGTAGTTGCAAAAGTTACATCAAAGGTTAAAGCCTCACAAGATTACTCAGGTTTTGCCCCAGGATTCTCCAATGTGAATCAACATAGTTGGCATGAATCACAGGGGCCACAAATGAACAACACACATGTGAGGTCAGATTTCAATGGCTCTACCAAGTCTTGTAATCAATTGCAAATTCCATCACAAACTAAGAGTGATCATGGAAAGGCATGGAGCAAATAACTCTTCTCACGTATACACAGTGCAAACCCATGTTTTCCGCCGTTTTGGTGCACATGGAATATGTAAGATCACTTGTACCCAATCATAGAACATCATGGCAAAATCAATCTTACATGCACATAGCAGTGATCATCTTCAACCCATCACAAGCACACCCATTCCAGAAACTTAGTCTGATGCAAAAACCTGTGGCAATCAAATTTGTATGCATTTGTGCTCTTGTCAGTGGAGTCAACCTGAACTTGGCATTGCCATGTACATCTTTCTCTTGCAAGCCAGCCATGGAATCAAACTGTGAACCGATCAATAGTGTCACATCCAAGCTGCACACACAAGCTGCACCAGCAGAGAGCATACATATGCATTACACAGACCATCATGGTTTGTCAAATTGCATATGTCACGTATGTCCCTCACTGCCAATAGCCTGCAGGGCAGTGAGTTGTATTGTGTTATTTTCATGCTGTGCTATGCAAATGTTTTCCAGCCAGCATGAAAAGAATATGGAAAGATAATGCTGAAATCAAAATCTGTGTGAATGCACTGATCAACCAAGTTGGTTAGCCTGTGGACAGTGTAATCGAAACAGAAAATATCGCCAAGGATATGGATTCATACAGCCATGGCAAGGAGCAGCTCTATCATAACAGTGAAACGGGACGATTGCAAAAACTTATGCTAACACCTGCTTACCAAGGAAAAAATACTGTTTTTTTTTAAACACATTTTCTGAATGATACTATAAGGTGAAGATACTAGCAAGGGTGACCTTAGCCAGCTATCTTTTGAATCACCATGCAATAATCAATATAGGTAATCATTGCACTATGTCATGGGTTGCCATCTTGTGTTTGTTGCATTGATAAGTTGCAGCACTATCGGTGGCTCTGTTTGAAATCAAGCTTAAACTGACCAATAAATGTCGAGGTGGTCTACCCAAAGACCTCAATGAGAGTATATTGGCCAAGCCAATTATGAAACGTATATGATAGCTGCTTACTTCCCTGGGACGACTGTAGATAGTTATTCAAGTTTACTTATCCAAATAAATATGTTATTTTCTGGGCATGATGAATGTAGTATTCTTTTAAATAGATGATGGTTATTGTGAACATATAATACATACATACTGTATATACATATATATATATATTGCTCTTCATACTGTTTCTTCTCTTGCCATTCTTGAATATCATGCGATGACCCTTGTAGTTGGACAACATGGTCCCAAGACGTAGTGTCATGCTTTTTGTTACTTAGCATGTCCTTGCTATGCATTGAAGAAAAACATGTTATAAACACATGATGGAAAGGCCTCATCCAAGATGAGATGGGTTGTAGTTAGCATTAGTTTAAGGATAATAAGTCTGCAACATTGTCAAAACTATATTTTTTTAGCTGATGATGGCGATTTCTTTTCGTAAGCAGTGCATAGACCGTTCAGCCAGACTGTCCGGAGCGACGTCCGGCTAGATGGTCCGGCAAGACGGTCAGTCTAACTGTCCGATTAGAACGTCCGGCTGGAATGAATCGAATTGATTCTGGCCAGTCAATCTGGTCAGATAATAAATTGATGAGCGTAAAGAAAGCTAAGTCTTCAGGTCTCTCGGAAGTAGCAGCCTTTCGGGGTCGGAGGGGGGGTCGAAAAAAAAGAGAAAAAACAAACTATATATATATATTTTTTTGTTTTTTTTTGCCACCCCCCCTCAGGGAGGGGTCTAGAAGGTAAAAACCATAGTTTTAGGGTTTCCAGAGGTCTCGAGGAAGAAGCAAGAAAGGAAAACAAAAAACTAAGCAGAAAACTTAGTAGCAATATATTAATCCAACACTTGACCCGTATGTGTCCATTCCTCTTTCCAGCTCTCCACAACGTCCCTTTCTGAAATATAAACAAACAACATTTAAAGAACATGGTTCTGTCATATTATGATGTGAGATATTGCACGACTTGCAAAACAATCCACGCAAATGTCCCATCTTACGTTTTGCTGTATTTCCAGAAACGTGGTAAAATGGGGCCCCCGTGGCGTGACTTTCTGAAGAAAGATGGGTTTATCATAGACAAAACGTGGAGCTCTGAGATTTTATTCAGCAGAAGATGGTGGTGCCCCGAGTGAACATGTTTCTTGGTTTATGACTCTTTGATCTAGTTCGATATATCATATATATCTATATATATGTATATGTCTACCACAAATCCTATAGTGAATCCAGTAACCTAAACCAACTTAGCTATCCTTTGTTGTTTTTTTTTAAAATCTAGGTCGGGTAAGGCACCATAGATTAAATCTACGGTCGGGGTTTCCCAAGTCAAAAATCCCACCTGGTCGGTATTGAACCCTCTGGTAAACTAACAGTTTGCTATGGAAAATCACCATTTTCATGGGTAAATCCACTATTTCTATGGCCATTTTCAATAGCTATCTATGTATGTTTACCAGGCCGGGTAGCTCTTGGAGGTTTTGATGCACCTTCAAGCATCTTCTTCTTGAATTCTTCACACTAGTCTATAAATATGGAGTGGCATAAGTATCCATGGCACATTTTGTGGTTTGACAGGGTCACATTTTATTTGCGGCTCCATGGAACGACAGCTTTTGGACCAGTGTTAGGTTATATAAATCTAATGGGATCAACCCAAAACTGTTGAATTTCATATACGTCCCAGAAATGGGTTGGATTTCAACCAAGTATTATGTTTACAAAATTACTTTATGTATATATTATATATCTGATTTTTTTGGTGCAATTCCTTGAAAACCCAATGATTTGCGTTTTGAAACTTGCATCCAAAAAGTTATCAGGGCAGCTCATTTGAGTCGATGAAACTCCACTCGCTGGTGGCAAGAGCTCCCACGGTGGAACTAAAAATCTAACATCCTGTATGAGTAACCTTCCAAAAAGATCGATAAGGGCAAGTTTATTAAGTTTATCTTTATTTTGGTGAGATTTTTCAGGATTCTACATCTTCTTTCTGGGGGTGGTGTAATTTGAGGGCTTGGAACCCGGGGTTTCCTGCAGTTTTTCCCTTCAAGCTGCTAGGTGTTGCCTCGCAGCCGCCTGCCACAGAGGCATAACGAGCTGTTGGCAGCCCAAATCATCAGGTAATCAGTCACTGAAAAATGGGGATTGAACCATGAAACATGGGATTTCACTGTCCAACTAACCATAGAAAGTTTGCCCCGGACATGTTCAATGCGTGGTGAAAAAAACCATCAAATTTCCCGGATGAATGTCCGTGGATGGATTTGAGGGGCAAATCATCAGAAACCCATGGTTTTTTTTACCAGTTTTCAACGCATTCCTCCGGGAAAAGTGGGAGGCTCTGGCGGCTATGGCTTGAAGATTGTCCCGAACTCCCATGGCGTTGATCCTCATGGTTTTTTCCCCGGCATTTTTCTTTTGGGTTCTCAGAGAAATCCATATGGCTATGGATCAATACCTATTAATACCATTTTTAGTGGGATGAACATCCATTTACCAGCTATTTTGATGTTCACCACAGGTACAAGATTTTGACACACTACCATATGACCAGCCGGGTATCAACATTTAAACACGGGATGGTCATCTGGTTAGTTCACAACAAACCATTTCCACGAACCTCTGCTGATGGTGCTGTCAACAGTCAATAGCACACGTCATCAGGGCTAGAATCTGTGAAATCGGGGACATATGTGATGTGGGTATATATATATATGAAAAAATGGGGCATCAGTGGACCCCAAACGAGTTCTATTGAATAAAACCATCATGTTCGTGCTTGAATCTGCTTATACAAGCCTGTTGTCGCAGACTTGGATGAAGAGAACATTTTATCTGGTTGGTGGTTCGGAACATTTTTTTTCTCCATATATTGGGAATCATCATCCCAACTGACTTTCATATCTTTCAGAGGGGTAGGTCAACCACCAACCAGTTATACATTTTATGGTGGAACCCTATTATCTTTCAATTTACTGGGCAAACTTCCATGGTTTCCGATACGAATCACTCCATCAACGCCAGGCTGCGACGCAGCAGGTCCAGGCCGACCCGGGTCGCCAATCATTGGATGGTTATGACATGTTAATACTCTGGTTGGTGGTTTCCGTAGCCATTTTGGCTCAAGTGTGGGTGGGAGCCCGCGCCGGCCCCCGGGCTGGTGCAAGCCCCCAGCATGCAAACCGTGCGATTACGGTCCACAGCGGTAAAACTTTTCACGGATGCCGCTGAGGATAGCTTACGGGACGATCCCCAGCATGTGGTTGATCCCGCAATTCGAGCACAGGTGGTTGCGCACCAGGCACAGCTGCTGGATGATGCAATCCGTTTACCGGCAGCTGCGGCGCCAGTCACCGGTCATATCAGAGTGATCACAGATATGCACTCATTACTGCCAGATGCCAATTGGCGATTGGAGTGTCGAGATGACTTTCTAGCTTTTGATGTTCTGCACTCTTTGGCACATCAGGAACTCAAGACAAAGCTGCTAGAGTTTGGCATCAGAGGCAACTTCGATACTGATGCCTGCGGCTAGAGCTCAAACATCTGAGTTTGTGCTGACAACTTTCAGACAGCAGAGCCTCATCATGGGTCCACTCAACGTCACGTTGATGGTGCCGTTTGCACCACAGCTTAGCAGCGAATGGCAAACAAGGGCTGCATTTTATGCTGCAAACCCAGCGCTACCACTGGCAGGAGCATTCAGACAGCTGTTCCAAGATGTATCCCAGGCCTATTTGGAACCAGCCCTTGGCAATGTGAGATACCAGCTGTACTTGATCGCAAACGTGCAGGTGCATCTCTTGGTGCTACCAAATGGCGCTGCTGACGTTGACGCCGCACAAATAATGGCGATGCAGGCAGGTGTGCCATTGTATGACACCATTGTGAGTGAAAGAGGGTTTGAGAAATTCAGTCTCGTGTGGAGGCAATCCCTGGTGCATTATGCTGGTGCAAAGGTCATAGCCATCCACTTTCATCCCGCTCTGTTGCAGGCGAAGCTATTGAAGCTGTTTGATTGTGTGTGTCCGCCAAGATTTCGTCGTGTGCTCTCAAGAAAGGAGTTCCGAGATTTTGCCGATGAAGCAAGCAAAACAAGATTGTCGTTGACCTACATGGATGCAAGGCAGCGCAGAACCCAGCGTATTCTTGACCTCAGTCTGTGGTGCTGTGGGTTGATTCAACCAGAAGTGGGCCCTTCCGGCGAGGTGTTGTCAGAAGACTTCGGCCTCGTATTGATACAGAGCAACCAGCGCGATGCAGGCGCACCAATGCGGGAGGTCGAAGCATATTTTGTGAGGCCTCTGCTTGAGATGATGTGGCCATCACAATCGGGTTGCCACATGGGCACCACCCAACAATTGGGTGTGGCTCCTCACTGATTTGCTAGACATCAATCGTGGCTTCACATGACCCTGAAAGCAGAGAGATCAAGAAAGCGGGAGCGCCAATGATGATCTCTTCTTATTTTGTGACGCCTCCGAGAGCGATGTAGTTTCCACAGCAGACCAGGAATCTGCACACGATTCCCATCAATTTGAATTTCTGGAAACTATGCACACTCACGCTGACCGCATCGGATGCAGAAGCTCTCACACGGTTCATGAGAACTGGTGATTTGCCTCTTGACCAATGGATCGCCACCCAAAGTGCAGCACGTGCTATCACCCAGGGCGTTGTGCTTGTGAGTGGTACAGCCTATGCTCATTTTCGCTCACTCGAGCCCGAAGAGTCTCAGGGGTTCCTGCAAGAGGTTTGCGCTGCCAAGTTTGCCACAGGCGCACAGGCCTGGAGCAGTGCAAGTGATGCACTTTTGGACCGCCAGCGACGTGTCAGAGACATTGACGTTCAACCCGCACCTTGGGAGTCCATGGCAAGCTCATTTGGTTTGCGGTACAATGCTGCATTGTTGGATGCGAGAATGCGAAACGCAGAGCGTAATGCGAATAGCATGTTTGCTGAACCATTTCAAATGCAATCCTCCGTGCAGGATGTGACATCTGGATTGTGTGGTGGATTGGAGTTTGTAGTATCTGCACCAAGTGGTCCCGCAGCGCCATTTGCGTTTCCACAGCCTTCTGCTCCGCCAGCTACTGTGCTGAGCTCCATCAATCACGCAACACACGAACACCAGCCTTGCTCGGCTGCCATTAGCGGAGCTTGTATGATGATGATGCTAGTGAGCACAACGCCATAGACTGATGTGGGAAAGGGATTCTCTGCCAGAGCAAAGCTGAACCCAGGCGTCATTTCCAAGGGCCAGGCACAAGCTGCATTTGAATTCATTGCCTGTCTGCGTGATTTGGCATACTCTTGGAAAGAGGACATGGCAAAAGATGAACGTGCTGCTTTCTTTCATGCCAGCTGCCCGGAGGCTGCATCAAGCACAGCCATTGGTGGTATGTTTCATGCCACCTCACGAGAACTGTTCTTTCTCAAACAGGACGTTGAGGATGCAAAGGATGAAGGGCTGAAAGCGAAAGCAAAATTGGAGGCACACCAACGGACATTGGGGTTCGTACCCCGTCTGCGCAATTGGTGGAATCTGCAGTGGACGGGAATGCGTTCGGATCAGATGATCACTGATCATCTTGATGAGATTGAACTCAAAGAGGTGACAGCGACCTATGAACGGGAGCGACGAGCTGGCAATGTGCCTACACTTTTCACCACACAGGCATCAAAGCCGGAGAAGGCACCTGTTGAACAAGAACACATCTTGCCGAATCAAGTGAACTCCGTACTTGGCAGAACAATTGGACTGCTTCATGCGCTGCTTGCAAAGACGGAGCCGCAAGAGTGCAGTGTACAATCACTACTTAATGCGAGTGGTGCATTTGCGCAGAGGTATGGCAATGTGGCGCCCCATGTCATCAAGCTGCTGCTGAAATTGTACGAAGGCGACAATACTCAACGGACAACATGTATGCCCCATATTGAGATGCCATGTGAGCCCAATCGTGGATGCTTGCGCCTTGTGCCAGGCCCTATAAGAGCGACAGACATTGTGGGCCTACGACAGTCACAGAAGCTCCTGGAGAGTGCTTTTGCGATTGCCCCAGAAGCCGCGAGCAAGACACTGCAGATGCTTGAAGCGCTCACTCAGCTACATGACATCAACTCAGGCAAGCTTGAACAGTGGGCTGTGGCAGCCCACTCACAATTGAGCTCACAGGCAAACAAGCGCTCAATGGTGTTGGCAATGGTGACCGACTGCACGATTTGCTTGAGGATCATGTCTGAACAAGACGTGGCGAACATGCCCGTGCAATGTCAAAATGCGATACTGGAGCAGATATTCTTCGTGATCAAGCATTCCACAAATCACGATGAGTTGCGTGGTGCGATACGTTTGTTGGATCTGTTCTTCAACATCTTGCCCACCGCAATCACAAGTGTCGCACCAGACTCTCGTTCACTGAAGGAGCTCCAGAACAAGTTCCGTGAAGCTTTTAGTTGCAACTCCATTGTTGTTTGCACATGCCTTGCAATCATGCGTGCTAGTACTCGCTCTTGCACAATGCATTCGATACCTGGCAACATCTTGCAAGCCCTTCCAACCAGCCTGGATGCGCCAGATCTAAAGGAATGGACACAGATGCAGGAGGACGGCTTGTACACAAAGAAAGAACTGCGCGAGCTTGACACGAGGATGGACATCAACCGTTGGCAAACAAAAGCCTTGCGCTGGCTCACGCAATTGGCCGACAGAATGCAGTTGCTGTTAAAACCAGAGCTGCTGGAGACTGCCTATTTTGTCACAGACAACCTCGCCTCCGCAGAGCAAAAGACAGTTCAGCCATTTGTTGAAGGAGCTTGTAGGGTGCAAGTTTCTGATTCAGGTGCGGAGCGGTGCAATCTGGAAGTGGCTATGCTCACCAGACGGTTCACGCAAGCACGAGTGGCAACCGCATCAATACAGGACGTGGTCACAGAGCTGGGCGATCGTGCGTACGCTACAGGGACGAGCGTATTGCTCACTGTGACCACTGGAGTGCACACAACAGTGCGATTCATTGGCTTCTGGGACATCAACGTCGACACTGGCATTGCGACATCCTCACAGGATTTTGTCATACTGCACGTTTCCGTGATAGGTGAGCCAGCGAAATCGGGAGGGGCATCCTCTCAGTTCAACCTTCTGCATGCAACAGCAGATATTGTCCTCGCCAGGAAGCTCAACGTGGTCCCAAAGATGCAGCATGGTGAAGTAGACACCATCAAACCAGCATCATCGAGCACGGGGAGCGAGGCACTGCGTGCACTAGTTGCGCGCTCAGGTCTGCTTACAGCTCCGAGACTTGCTCTGTCAATTGCCCAGCTCAGGCAAATCTTGCATGATGTGGACATTTCAGCTTGGCCACCAACAGAGTTGGAAGGCACTGTCGCCCCATGCCCTGTGCCGTATGTGCTTAAGGACGACGAGGAGGCCATTGAATGTGTGCGAGGCTGCATGTGCTCAAGCATGCAGGCAGATTGACAAGGTGGGGTGCAGAGACAGAACGAGCTTGTGACACCTTGCCCGCGTTGCAAGTACTGTTTGTGCCAACGGATGCGCAGCGCAAGCTACTGGAAGAAAAGCAGGACAAGAATGCGGTTCGCCTGATCTTGAGTCAAGAAGAGGAGGTCATGGCACGTGTGCTCGGCGGCGCTCAAATGCACCTGACGGAGCATACAGTTGAGGCGTATCTGCGTGCAACATTGCATGCGAGATGCCCAGCCGTTAGTCAGGACACACCAAAGAAGTTGGCAGCTGCATTGCTCAACAAGTTCGAAGAAAAGGATCAACCAGGCCCGCTCTATTTCATGAAGGCCATGCCAGGTTGTGTGCACACCCTTGCGAGGGAAGCTTTCCTTGACCTGAGCGAGCAGCAGCTCATAAAATGGTTCATCTGGCAGCTATTCACGCTCACTGCAGTTGTTTGCCGCAACATTGAGTTGGAAAGAGAGCTCGTGCCATTTGCGCCTGCAAAAGGCGTGGACCTGCGTCAATCAGTGCGTACGGCACTGCACAATTTTGGCGGCCTCGTGGGCCCAATCGAACTGGCAGGCGATCTCAAAAGGCTGGCACAGCTGTACTCAAAGGTGATGAGCAAGTCGAAGCTCAACGTGCATGAAGGCAATGACCTGGACAAGGTACTTGACAAGCATGCTGACCGGATTGGTCAAACTGTTGAAGGCCTTGACGGGGTGAACAAGCTTGAGAATGCACTTAGGGTGCTGGTGATGGACACAGCTGTCTTCGATCCGAGCACCGGAGAATATGTTTCTCTGATCTCCAGACATGCTCGTTTGATTGAGGAAACCACAAAGGACTGCATCAGGCACTGCAGCGACTGCATACAGATACGAGAGGCACGTGACCAGCTAGCCAAGCTGCTACCTGCACGGCTGCTGCGAACGCCATGGGATGGCTCAGAGTACATCTCTGTGAGGGACAAAGCAAAGATGAGCTTGCCTTTGCAGTTGGTGTGTTTTCAACCACAAGATGGCAGTGGTGAGATGTTCACTACAGAATTTGTTGAGGCGATATGCACAATTGTAAGCACGCCCAAGAACACGGATCTCGCAGTTGTCACAGAGGTGATATTTCCCATGGCACACATGCAACCAAACAGGGAGTTTCTGGGTCGGATTGGGCCATCAATTGAGTGCTGGCAACTGAACACAACATGTTGAGCCTCAACACCGAACATCTGACAGGGCCCCACTTTTATGTGCAGAATTATCAACAGACAAATGTCAGATTGTGGAGGGAGTTGGCATCATGCGTGCTTGGTGACGAGGAGCCCATGCTCATGCCAATTCTGCTGGACACGTTGCTTAGGCCACCACTGACCCATGAGGAGTCCATTGATACAATCACAAACGCACTGGCCAGCATGGCAGACAAGCAACGTGCTGACTACCTCAGCTTTGCAGGACTTGAAAGTTACACGGCAACGTTGCGAGGAAAAGATGAACCTGCAGTTCAGGCAGTTGCAACGGCAAGTGCAATCTCGCGAGCCGATGCAGGCAAAGCATTCCAAGAGAAGGATGATGATGAACTGCCAATCCTTGCAGGTGCGAGCACCACAGATGACTTTGTTGCTCGTCTATGCAATGGCTGCTCGACGTGTGGCGACTTCGATGCCAAATTCGTAGGTGACCAGCCAGAAGTTTATGTTGACCTCAAAATCACAGAAGGTGAAAGAGATTGGTATGTCAGGCAAGCGGACACGTGGACAAGGACTGCCAGGGCACTACTTGAGACAGAATTGGACAGAGATCTTCAGAGTGCTGACATCGCTGAACTTGCCGAGATCAGCTCACAAACTAGAGCTGCTGGCGCCATACAGATTGCAACGGCATACACGACATTGTTTCAGGAGTATGACCGAGTTGCGTCCGTGTCAAATGCTGAAGAGCTATACTGACCATACGTTGCCGTCCAATTGTGCTTGATGGTGTTGGCGGCAGTGGCAAAACATACCAGGTGTCCAAAGCAGCGGTATACTGCATGGAGCAAGGCCAATCAGAGAAAAAGAACCGCACTCGTGTTGTCGAGTACCAGCCGATGATGACATCGACGGCGCCAACTGGCGCATTGGCAGTATCGTTAGCTGAATCGATGCTTGCGATGAAAGTGACGCTTGAGAAACAGACAAAAGCAACAAGAGGCAACAGACACGAATACCGCAACGCCTTCACCATGGACAAGCAAATCGTTGAGTGCCTACGCAAAGAACGCAAAATCATACATGTGGATGAGTACCCCAAGATGGGTTTGCATTACATCAAAAGTTTCATGCTGGCAGCACTCATTCGAACACGAAAGTTCCTGGACAATGCAAACCTGCTCGCAAGAGACACAGAGTGTCTAGTGCTGGTGCTTTCAGGTGACTTACGACAGATCAAGAATGTGAACTTTGAATACAAGGGAACAACAGCATGAGGAGGCAGTGATGAATTGCAGAGACTACAACGACGCATCAAAACGCGAAGTCAGCCAAAGCAAGCCACAAAAGTGGCTGCAGTTGACACAATCGACATGCCTGACCTTGTACGTTGGATGCTCTCACCGGATCCTTGGAAGGACGCGCCCAGATTCACGGCGAAGCGTGTGCGAAGACACTCTGTTGCAGTGTACAAACTCATTGAAAAGCACATACCTGAGCCGGAATTCCTGATGCAACCATGTGGACGCATCTACTTCGTGCTCAGCGCCATCAACTGGAGTGCTGTTTCTCCTGAGCAAGCAAGGCTGTTTGAGTCCTTCATCTACATCGCTGACATTTCTGACAAGGCGAATGACATGAACTCAATGGCTGCCAGAGGTCAGGCCATCTTCGCAGCTGCGATGACAAGTGACGTTGCACAAGGTGCGAGCGCGGAGAGGATGTTCTACAGCGTGGAGGCGAAGAAGATGGGTGGACAAGAAACCCCTTCAAAGGAAGACTCAAGCTTGCTTGTCAAGCGAAATTGTCACTACCCATCTGCAATCCAGCGGTGGAAGGAGAACAGGGCTGCCATATTGATCATCCACTTTGAGGCACCTGACGTAAGTGCCCAAGAAGCAAAAACTTTCTTGCGTGGGTACATTCATATGACCGAATTTACGTTCCTCACTTTTCAACAACTTTGCACCAGAATGTTGGAGGACGCGAACAAGCCCATGCAAAAACCGGCTGGTATGATGCCTTCAGGGCAAGCCAAGCAAATCGCCAATGACAAGGCACTCACGCAAGAGTGGGTTCATGCAATTGACAGCGAACTCCAGGAAATGAACCGAGACAAAAGAATGGGCTACATGCTTGATTGTTTCGCACGCTGGCTGGCAAGCAGAGACGACATTGACTTTGCTACATGCTCGGCAGTCAGCAGACAAATGGTGTCCCGTGCCATTGCGCTGATGCCTGAGGAGTCACTGCAACAAGTCATTGAGGTGACCATGGACACCGAAGTGTTCAAGTTGCTTGTCAATGCATCAATCAAGCCCGATGGTAGTGGAGCGATGACACGACAGACTGCTGCGATACTCGTGCGAGCGTTGCTGAGGCGCCAACAGTTTTATGGTGGAAGTGATCCACGAATGGTGGTGCAGGGTTGGTGTGCCGCGAACTTGCCAAAACCAGCGGGAGGTCCACTCAGCGCGCCAAGACCAGCAACGGAAGTTGCACATCAGAAGTTCGAGCCAGGTCCTCATGAGGGTGTGCCAGAACATTGGATACATGCCATCGACGAGATCGAGAGAATGCCAGAAGACGTGGGTTTTCAGATGGGGTCCCGCGCAAGCCTTGGACGTTTGCCATTGCGTCGGCAACGTCCAGCGGGCAACCCCTGAAACGGCGTTTACTTGCGCATTGCGGCACCGACATGATCAGGGCAAACTTCAACAGCCATGTGTGGGATGCAAATTTTCTCCCTGACGGTGAGGGCACACAATGGTACATTGACTGGAGTATGCTATGGTCTGAGCACCAACACATGGATAGAGTTCCTGTGGGTGAACTTACACCTGAACTCATCCATGCATTCGATGCCGTTTTGCAAGTCACGCACGGAACGCCGTCACATCACAACGACTGTGTTGTGGCAAACGTGATGCAACCATTGGGCTGGGCATCACAAACCATTGTGGGCACCGGCAGGCTAAGGATACCCTCACCTCCGCAGAGCCAATTTGCCCACTCACTCACAGCCCATGCATACTCACGACTCGATCGGGCTTCAAACCAAGTCTCTACACTGAATACGCAGATCACGAGGCACTCGATTTTGAATCAGGACAGGCTCACAGCTAGCTTACCGACCCAGGCACGGCAAGCTGCAGCAAGACAATCCCAGAAACAGGAAGCAATAGAAGACGGGGTCCGAGCCGCGCAATACATCCATCGCATTGATCCTGGTAAGCTCGATTACGCAGCGACAAGCATTGAAACGTATCTGCGCAGAGCGCTGAAGAAATTCATCCCTCCTACCTCAATGAAATTATTTCAGGGGGGGGTTACCCTCCAATTTTTTTTTTGAAAATAATTTCAAAAATCAAAAATCTAACATGTTGGATGTATAGATTTATAGACTCTAACCATCACCAAAATAATTTCTGGTTGGAAATTATTTTGATGGGTTACCCCCCCCTCAAAATAATTTTGACGAAAACACTCTCACAGCAAAAAAAATATTTCAAAATAATTTTGGTGTTTGACATTGTTTTGATCCGATGGCATATTCCACCTTTGGATGAAGGAATGTCGTACACTCAAGTTTCTGCAGGCTGTGTTCACACAGCACTTCTTCGCAGTGATGGCAGTGTTGTAACTTTCGGAGGAAACGATGTAGAACAATGCGATATCCCATCTTGCGCAATGTTGGACTTGCAAAAGTGGCTTATTATTTTTTAGGTTTTTTGTTTTTTAGGATTGATGCGTTGCGAATCCTACAACGCAAATAAATTCAACATCATGTTTCATGTGTGCTCCCTGGTAGTCATGTCAGAATCTCCCCTCAATCTTAAGTTGCAGCAAGAACGCATCAAAACTTGCAACTCGAAACCAAACTCGTTCTTTAAGAAATTATTCAAAGGATCTTGGAGATGCCCTGCATTCCTCAAAAATCAAAGTGGGAAGCTGCCAGAACCATCCAACTCGCCCATAAACTGGAAACAAATGAAAAACCTATCAAACCGAACGCTTCCCAAAAAAGAGTTCTTTGGAGGGAAATGAATGGAATATGGTAGAAATAATGGGAAATATGACAGGTTAGGAAAATCACTACAGGAAAGGGCCAGGTTGAATACTATTTTGTGGTATTTCCCACGGGGAGAAATTATTTTAGGGGTATTGGAGGTACCCTGCACTCCTCAAAAACCAAAGTAAGCAGCTGCCAGAACCATCCAACTCGCCCATAAACTGGAAAAAAATGAAAAACCTATCAAAACCGAACGCTTCCCCAAAAAAAGTTCTTTGGAGGGAAATGAAGGGAATATGGGAGAAAGAGGGAAAAACATGAAAGGCTAGAAAAACCACTATAGCAAAGAGCTAAGTTGAATACCATTTTGTGCGATTTCCCAAGAGGAGAAATTATTCTAGGGGTATTGGAGATGCCTTGCACTTCCCAAAATTCAAATGAGCAGCTGCCAGAACCATCCAACTCGCCCATAAACTGGAAACAATTGAACAATCTATCAAAACCAAACGCTTCCCAAAAAAGAGTTCTTTGGAGGGAAATGAAGGGAATATGGGAGAAATAAGAGGAAATATGACAGGTTAGGAAAATCACTACAGGAAAGGAATACTATTTTGTGGGATTTCCCAAGCGGAGAAATTATTTTAGGGGTATTGGAGATACCCTGCACTCCTCAAAAATCAAAGTGAGCAGCTGCCAGAACCATCCAACTCGCCCATAAACTGGAAACAAATGAAAAACCTATCAAAACCGAACGCTTCCCAAAAAAGAGTTCTTTGGAGGGAAATGAAGGGCATATGGGAGAAAGAGGGAAAAACATGAAAGGCTAGAAAAACCACTATAGCAAAGAGCTAAGTTGAATACCATTGTGTGCGATTTCCCAAGAGGAGAAATTATTCTAGGGGTATTGGAGATGCCTTGCACTTCCCAAAATTCAAAGTGAGCAGCTGCCAGAACCATCCAACTCGCCCATAAACTGGAAACAATTGAACAATCTATCAAAACCGAACGCTTCCCAAAAAAGAGTTCTTTGGAGGGAAATGAAGGGAATATGGGAGAATAAGAGGAAATATGACAGGTTAGGAAAATCACTACAGGAAAAGAATATATACTATTTTGTGGTATTTCCCAAGCGGAGAAATTATTTTAGGGGTATTGGAGATACCCTGCACTCCTCAAAAATCAAAGTGAGCAGCTGCCAGAACCATCCAACTCGCCCATAAACTGGAAACAAATGAAAAAAATATCAAAACCGAACGCTTCCCAAAAAAGAGTTCTTTGGAGGGAAATGAAGGGAATATGGAAGAAGAAAAAGGAAATATGACAGGTTATGAAAATCACTACAGGAAAGGGCCAGGTTGAATACTATTTTGTGGGATTTCCCAAGAGAAGAAATTATTCTAGGGGTAGTGGAGATATCCTGCACTTCCCAAAAATCAAAGTGGGAAGCTGCCAGAACCATCCAACTCGCCCATAAACTGGAAACAAATGAAAAACCTATCAAAACCGAACGCTTCCCAAAAAAGAGTTCTTTGGAGGGAAATGAAGGGCATATGGGAGAAAGAGGGAAAAACATGAAAGGCTAGAAAAACCACTATAGCAAAGAGCTAAGTTGAATACCATTGTGTGCGATTCCCCAAGAGGAGAAATTATTCTAGGGGTATTGGAGATGCCTTGCACTTCCCAAAATTCAAAGTGAGCAGCTGCCAGAACCATCCAACTCGCCCATAAACTGGAAACAATTGAACAATCTATCAAAACCGAACGCTTCCAAAAAAAGAGTTCTTTGGAGGGAAATGAAGGGAATATGGGAGAAATAATGGGAAATATGACAGGTTAGGAGAATCACTACAGGAAAGGGCCAGGTTGAATACCATTCCGTGGGATTTCCCAAGGGGTGAAATTATTCTAGGGGTATTGGAGATACCCTGCACTCCTCAAAAATCAAAGTGAGCAGCTGCCAGCTGAAAAAAAACTATAAACACCGAATGCTTTCCCTTTCACACTCATTCCCACCGAGTGTTCTTTGGAAGGAAATGAAGGGAATGTGAGAGAAATGTGGGGAAGTATGAAAAAAATGGAAATATGTAGGAAAGAGCCAGTGATGAAGATGATGGTTGAACATCATTTTGCGGGAATCCCCAAGTTTTTTTTTTTTAAAATCTTTTTTTGTTTAAAATTTAGATGAAATTATTTCAAAACATAGTTATTCCAGGGTATATTGAAGGCTTAGATTATAACTCGCATATTCCAATATGCACATCCGTAGGCCACTGGTTAGGAAAATTATTCAACAACATGTCTTCTTTAAACATATTCCAAAACCTGGTTGATACCCCCGCGTTTTTCTTGAAGGGTTGGAATATCCCCGGTACACCTGCGAAGGTGATCATGTCGGGTAGGGGGGGGTCCCAAAGTATACATATGTAAAGATTGGAGTCTCCGGAGGGGGGCAAAATAATTAACTCCCCAGGGGTTGAAATAATTTTTGCGAAGGTTCACCACCGTCGATGAAGGGGAGGGGGGGGTCTATCGTAAGAAACTATTTTACCCTAAAGAGGGTTGTTTCGTATAACAACCGAAGACACTATCAACCCCCTGAAAATAATTTTGGAAATTATTTTGAGGGGGGGAGGGGGGGGTAGTTTAGGTAGGGTAGATAGAAATTCACTGACGTGAACAGTGCGATTCGTGCAGACTTGCCAGAGGAAGCGAGGGTGCAACAGCTCAACGACCTGCAGAAGGAGCTTGTGGATGCGGGCGATATGGTGACGAAGCAACTTGAGCCTGACCAAATTCTTGCACACGGTCTATTCGTGTCTGTGGACAAGACACAGGCTAAGATAAAACCAACTTGGCCTTTGCCACAGCTGCAAGATAAGTGTTTCGAACAATACAACGCATTGTTACGACACAAGCCGAACCAACCCGTGCAAAGTGCTGCACCTATTCTCACTTTGCTGACCATGCCTATCACGCGGCTCGCCTTTACTCTGTTGTCATTGGCAACAGATCAGCGCGTACACTTGTCCTTCACGCCTGGCACGCGTGTTGACGAGATGTACCGAGCCGTTTTCACAGATCTGGAAGATGAGCGGGGGTGGAGCGATCAGGAGTGGTACGAACTTGACCTTGAACAGGCAGACGCCACTCACAATTACGGTGACTTTGTCTTTATCGCATATTTGCTAAAGGAAGCCATGCCTGAGGCAACAGCATTGCGGAGGACGTTACTTGGAGCCATTGCGGCAATTGAGCAACATTGGCGATCATTGTCACTGTTCACTGGACAGGCAACAGATCATTGGAGCTCGCTGCCAAGCGGCATTTCGTGGACTTATATTGAGAACACGATGAAAGTCTTACGGGCCGTTGTTCGACTCTTCAAAGCCATCAGAAGAACGATAATGGGCGGAGACGACGGTGCTGTGGCTCCAGAAACTGATGTCAAGCCAAATTGGCCTGCAACAAAGACGCTAGGCACGATCATCACCCTTGAGGCAAAGCGCATTGGATTCTTCTCATTCCACGCTAGCCTACACTCACCGAGATTGAGCACGCCAGACATTTACAAACTGGCCATGAAGTTGCTCGATCGAAGATATGTGAAGAGAGACCAACAATTACTGAAGGAGGTACAAGAGTACCAGAACTCAA